GTAAAGCATCGGAGTCGAAATCTAGTAGAGGTTGGAGAATGACGTGCATTTGGCGTTGTGCAAATTGCATAAGCTCTAGCCGGTAGTAGTGCAGAGCCGTGGGCCTAAGAGGTACATGATTCTAGCACTGAAAGCCACCGCCACAGAGGTACCTATCCTGTACTATCTGAGGAAGGCTAGGTACGGTCGCTATGCGCTACGTCAAGCGGCCAAGCACGGGGCCTGGGATCTCTCTTGAGTGTCTACCATCAAACGAACACATCAGCCTCGCACTCGCCATCTCGCATCGCATCCCGGCACCTCGACCTCAGCTCTCTTGTCTTTGTCGCCCCCATTCTTCTTCGAATCCGAAGCTGTCTCGGGGACTCTTGTCCCTTCTCTCAACCCCACAATGGTCGGTGATGAACCTGGCCGGTGATGAACCTGGCCGAAGCTCAGCGATTTGCTCTAACCTCTCGATAGTCTGCTCAGAACTCGTCCGGCATTCAGACCCTGCTCGATGTAGGAATTCGCGTCCATCTATGTGATATGGATAGCAACACAGCAGCTGACCTGACCTCATCTAGGCCGAGCGGGAAGCTTCTAAGATCGTCCAGAAGGGTAGGTGTCGCTCGTGTTGTCCCCACACCTGGTGTTGATGATTGCTGACCTGAATCATAACTCTAGCTCGAGAATGTAAGTTGCCTTGCAATGTAGTCAGCCCCCGATAATTACCGTTGCCAACCACGATACAGTCCGCACGAAGCGTGTCAAGGAGGCTCGAGATGAGGCCAAGCAGGAGATAAACGACTACAGAGCCCAGAAGGAGCAGGAATTCAAGAAGTTCGAGGCTGAGGTAAATTCCAGACTGTGTCTGATCGACTGATAGAATATCGGGCGGTTCTTGGGCGAGCGTACGCTGACGTGGATCCTACAGCATAGCAAAGGCAACGAACAGGCTGAGGACGAGGCAAACAAGGAGGCAGAGAAGCAAATCCAGGTCATCAAGGAGGCTGGGAAGAAGGGTCAGGCCGGTGTGATCAAGAACCTGCTCTCTGCTGTTCTGGAGGCCAAGCCTACCCCCCCGCAAGCTGCTTAAATCGTTACTGGGGAGAAGTATAGGGATGCATCATTCATTGTTTGGAAGGGCCCTTGAATTTTAGAACGTTTGATAGGTCGCGTGGAAGGAGCTCTGGTTGTTTTCGTTGAGATGGATTGAACGTTTTATAAACAACTAGCGTAGTAACTCTACGAGCGTACCTAACATATCCTTTAAATCTCGACCATCCTCTTCCTCTGCATCCAAAGCTTCTAATTGCTCTGTGAGTGTTGCTTTGATAACTGCCATAGTCTCATCCCGTTCTGCCAGAAGCTGCTTGATTCTGCGACTTGCCCCACCATCCTCAGCAGACAGCCATGCGAGAATTACGTCGATGGCCTGGAGGATGAACAGACCAGCATCATGTCTTCTGGACAGCCATTCGATTTCCAATTCTTCTCGATCCTCCTCCATCGAAGATAGCCGCTCTTGTTTGTTTTTCTCCTCGGCTTGTTTGATTTGGCGACTATACTCGTGTCGGAGCTTGGTCAACTTGCGCAATTTCTCGTAATCTTTCTCGACAAATTTGGCTAGTAAGCGAATCCTTTCCGCTGAATTGGCAGGGAGAAGCCTGAGCATGGAGGCAAAAATGTTGAGCAGATGGCTCAAGAGACGGTGATCCTGGGATTTCATGAAGAGCGTAAATGTACCCTTGAGGCCGCCTGCATCCACCAGCTTCTCACATACTTCTGTACCCGTCTTGCTGGCAGTAGCGTGGTCCAGGAGACGAAGGGCAGGAGATCTGCTCATCTTGCCACCCTTGAATAAGAGCAAACATAGCTCGATACCTTCTGCCTCTATGAACTTGGTCTTGCCTTCAGGTTCGTCAGCGAGGCACGTGAGCGCCTCGAAAAGGTTCTCCATGTACTCCTCTTCTTCGCTTCCCTTTTCAGGATCTCGCCGGAGGTAGGAGGCGACTAGTTGAAGCATTTTATCGATCGCATCAAGCTTGATAAGCTTATTGCGGTTCTCCGCTGAGGCTTGAGAGAGAATTGCAAGTATTTCAGCGGCATATTGTTTGTTCTGTGATATGGCGAGTTCCTTCCTTTGAATACGGTCAAGTAACCAGTGAACTAACTTGTCCTCTTGGCCAATTCGTGTTGCTACTGCGCTTCGGGAGCAGAGGTTCTCAATGACCCCAAGGGAAAAGTAGACGCCGCTTCTATCGGCCTCGTCTTCTTCGTTGAGGCGGGAAAAATTGGACACAATGAGGCTAAGTAGATCGGCATCTAGAAGAGCATCGACCAGAGCATTCCACTGCGCGTCCTCGGCAACCACGTCTTCGTCTGTGAGCTCGCCAATGATCTCAATTGCATCTATTGCAATGTCGGTATTTTCATGTGCTAGAAGACTGACAAGACTGCCTACGCAGCCAAGTGACGCAAAATCGGGAAACAGTTCGGGGTGTTCTGCCAAAATAGACAGAGCTTTAATGTCGGCGTCGAGATCGGCTTCGCTCGCTATGAACTTCTGTGGCTCCGATTCAAATTTCGCGCGCAATTCAGCATTCTTGGCGATATGCTTTTCAAAGTTTAGAGCAGTTCTGCGTAGCCAGCTTCCATCAATCTTATCTTGTTCTCGTCCGTTGTCGGCGCCTTCTACAAAATCGAGGATCTCGGATTCCTGCTTGGATATACCACCACCAAAGAAGCGACCTTCCTCGTCGTCACCCTTTTCCTCGTCGATGGGGATGGAGGGTCCATATTCTTCCTCGCCATCAGGAGGTAGAGCTGGTCCAGCCTCGATATCGTCATCGGCGTCTTCAACTTGGGCATGTCTATTCGGGCCGCGCGAATCTAATTTTGCGCTCTTGTAGATCTCATCTAAATAACAGACATCGCATTAGGTACACGGATTGAAAGAAAAGCCATTCAAGGCACATGCATTCGGGCGATGAGTACTTACTAGGATCTCGGATGGGATCAAGCCTCCGTTTACTGGGGAGGCCGGAATTCTGTCGAGCGGATTTAGTATTTGGCAGGCCTGAATGATTCTGAATTGTAGGTGATCTACCTTGAAAATTTCATCGACACTTGCCATTGTTTTCTCAATTCCTGCGGTTGGGTGAGGATAGAGGAAAACGCAATCAAGAATACCTAGGTAGCTGCTAGAAGCAGTGTACCGATTTACCGAGTTGAGATGACGATACAATTTCAAGCGCGACGCATTAGAGCTCCAAGTCTTGGCGCGGCGCGGCTAAGACAGCTCAGGTACTCAGGTACCTAGCCGCGACAGTCAGCTCATGTCATGTACCTCGTGGTGTGACGGTACTTGCTGACTGTTATGGCTTTGCATAACTCAGACAGAAACGTGCACGGATCAGGCGTCCGCATCGAGACCAATGACAAGGTCGCTCGGTGAGCAGGGCCTGCAGGTACAACCTCTCTGGCTAATGGAGAAGTACCTGCCTCTCAGGTACCCCTACGCTGCCTCCTCCTGTGAGGTGATCCCCTAGAAAAGAAGTCTCACGGACCACATCCAGGCCCCAGATAACGGCATAGAGTGAGTGCCCGCCACTAGTGAAGGGGCCTTTCCTGGCCGGCCAGGAACGGCCCACGGGGCCCTGGCAGGAACACCACATTCAGGGTGCCCTCCTTCCCTACTCGTCGCTGCATGCCGCCTAATTGATTCAACTAATGGATGGATGCTTGAACGTGGCCAAGTGCTCGGTTTTTGCTAGAGGCAGAGAACCAAGGCATGAGTGGAACGAGCTGCACGAGATGCATCTCGGCGGAGGCCGGTGTAAGTAGGTATTTCAGCAGATGGATGGCTTCCTTCCAGACCCCAAGACCTCACATAATAAGGCTCCATCCCTAGCAGTAATATTCGAAGCCTCTCTGATTGACCCCGACAGAGAGCATCCATCGTCCATCGCGTCCCCATTAGGCTGCCCAACCCCTGGTTTCGCCCCCCATGGTCATGGCCATCCCTCACACCTGCCGCATCACGGCCAAAAATTATTATCTCTCCGAAGGGGAAAAAGGGGGAGGGGACCAGACTGCTCATGCAACCCAACTAAAAGGAAACCAAGCGCCAGGCGATGCAAGTGACTGGCTACCAATTGTAAACCAATTCTGCTACCTACTAGCTCCAGCCTTGGATCCGCCCCCACGACTTAGCCTGCCATTGGATCATGCATCACGACTCACACCTCGCAGTGCGATCCGAAAATCCCAGCCTGTACCCGCCGACCGCCAGGCCCGCCCCATCCGCCTCTCCCCTTCCATCGCATTTCCCAAAGACCGATCTCGACATTGATTCGCAAACCACACGCCTACCTCGCGGCGGCTCACTGCTAGCACCATATCATTCGACATCATCTCCTCGCCTGGCCTCCGCGTCGGCCTTTCCCCATGCCGCCGACACTCACGACACTGACCGGTCCGAAGCCTTCACCTTCTTGCGCCTTGGCCACCCCCAATACCACCACAATCCCTCCGGTGCAAATGTAGAACCGAGACGGCCTCCCAGGGACGTTTCTCCAGGAAACCGCTCTTACGTCGACCGCTGGTCCAGTTCAACCAATTCAAGTGTCGATAACACAGTGTCGCACGCTCCTGCTGCCCCGCGCTCGCCAACCGCCCGCCAGAAGTCAACGACAACAACTCCCCAAAGCACCTCCCTACCCTCCACGACCGCCTCATCCTTTACGCCCAACCCGTCCGTGCAGAAACACAAACATACTCGCACCAACAGTGGGATTTTAGGTCATTTCGCCAAGTTTGCTACCAGCCCTGAGATCAATCATCAGCCCCCTGGGTCCCACACTGCTCAAGCGCCCGGTTCTCCAGGGAGAGGTTTTCAAGCCCATTATCGCCCCATTGCCGCCCGCGTTGCCACGAACCTACACCTTGGAAGCCGCGGGCTTCTACCCGCTGGCGCTCAAGTAACTGAATCGGGATCCTCACGGCCCTCAGCAGCCATGGCGACCACAATGACCCCTTCAGAGGAGGGCCATATCCATGGAGAGGAGCGTCCACACGGCCACTCTCGAAACCGTTCAGGGAAGAGTAGTGCGGACTCGTCCAAAGCCCGTGCACCTAAACCTCCCTCGCAGAAAGCCATGCTCTCACGCGCCCTCCAGAAGGCGAACAGTGCTGTCCTGCTGGACAATAACCAGGACTTCAGAGGCGCCCGCCAGGCCTACGCCGAGGCTTGCGAGCTTCTCCACCAGGTGCTGCAAAGAACCTCAGGCGACGAGGACAAACGCAAACTTGAAGCTATTGTACGTCACAGCTCGCCATCCCACTTACCCCAATCGTCCCTCCCACTGTTTGACACTCCTGCTCACTTCAAGTCATACAGCGTCGTACCTACAGCAGCCGAATTAGCGAGTTAGATCAGATGCTTTCCTTGTGGCACAACGGCAAGTCGCTTCCTGCCTATCCGGACGAGGAGGTATCAAATCGAAGGACCATTATTCAACACGCACCCGAGCGCGAAGCGGACCCGACGGCGGTGGAAACAGCGACTCTCAGAAGGATAGGTCGCGAAGACAACCAGACTCCGCACGCAATGACCCATGTAAATACCCACACGCAGCATCACCAATACCAACACCAGCAGCAGCCACGGCAAGAACATCGGCCTCCGAGGCTTCAGTCTCCTGAAACAGACCCTATTCACTCGCCTGAACATGGCTTTCTGCATTCATCCTTCAATCGGACACCGGTCAGATCAAGATTCCCTGACCATGTTATGTCATCTGGCATGAACGCATCTTCATCTTATGGAGCATCTAACACTATACAGCCCTCATCCGGGCTCCATGGAGACGGACTGGACGGACCTATACGAACTGACTTTTCAGTCGCTTCGGAGACTCGAAGGGTCATCGACCATACGAGAGAAAACAGTCAAAGTTCCTGGCTGGACCCAATTGACGAATCTGGAGGTTCCAATGCTTCGTCTGTTCACTCCCGCACGTCTTCCTTGGGGTACAGACGGAGGCACATTCGGTCTGGTAGCGGCGATACCGAGGCCGAATTCGATACCGCGTTGGATGCTGCCATTGAGGCAGCCTACGACGAGGGTTATGAGCCTATGGATGACAACGATATCAATTCCAATGTTCCGGATGAAGAGGTAGTGGCCAATGCGCTGCGCAAGGTCGAGATAGCACGGGAACGGGTTAGGCAAACCGAACGGGAAGCATACGAAGTGGCAAGTGAACAGGAGAGGCAACGACTCATGTTGCTCCAGCATCCACCCTTAGGCCAAACAGAACGGTACCATGCCCACCAAGGACAAGATTACTTCTTTGATGACAATTCATCTGATGAGGAGGAACGAATGCTTGATGAGATCACTCGGGACCTTGCTTCTAAAGACTTGAATGCTCATGGCCAGGCTCAACCCTCATCCCTAACACGCGAGTCCGAGTCCAGCAGCCTCGCAGCAAACGCATGGCATAGCTCTGCGGGATCAAGCGCCTTGGGTAGCAGCACTTCGCTATCAACAGTAACCGAGTCGATGCCTGCCCCTTATATCCCATCTGGCCCTGCTCTGGCGCCTCCGCCAACACATGCGCTTCCGGATCTTCCATCAGACAAGGTTTCCTCTGCCATCGCTGGAACTACAAATCGCCGACAGTCGACCCAGAACTACAAGCAGCTGAAGATAGAGACGAAAAGACTTGCGATGCCAGAAACAAGTAGTAACAGTGAAACACCTCAGGCCGATTTAGCCTCAACTGATAAAGGCGACATGCAAACCGTGGAGTTAGCACGGCCCACCACCGCTTCTCGACAACCGCCCTCGGCCGAAATCAGCCCAACTGACCCAAGGTCGTTTGGGTCTCCCCTTGATAATCGACCTGACGGCGAGGAAAGCTCAACTGGCCGCTCTAACTCCCCCACGTCGGGTAAACTCAAGAAGAACTTTTCCTCCTCAAGCTTGCGAAGCCTGAAGGCTCGTAATCTATCCGTGTCGAATCTAGACGAAAGTGAAATATCTCCTGGGGCAGCTATGGGTGCACACTGGGGAATTAACTCACGTGCACCGACCATGCCCATTGTGCCAACACCGCTGGCGGCCACATTACGTGATAGAGCGGAAACAGCGGTTGGGGGTCTATTCCTCCTCGAACATAATTTCCATAGCCCTGACAGCCCCGGCTCGCCCAACCCGACGGCCTCGGAAGCACCTGTACCGTTGGAGCCGTGCCCAACGGACTTCATGCTGAGACCATTTTGGCTGATGCGATGCCTCTACCAAACCTTGGTGCATCCACGTGGTGGATATCTCAGCCTTAAGTTGTTTGTTCCAAGAGAGGCGTGGCGGGTAAAGGGTGTAAAGCTCAAAAACATCGAAGACAAGATTGCAAACTGCGACTTCCTCACGGCAGCTTTACTGAAACTGGCCAAAGTCGACACTTTTGACGCCGACGCCCTACTCGAGGAAATGCAGGCTTTGGAGAATATATTAGAGCAAATCCAGACCGCTCTGACTCGCAAACTTGGAAATGAAGTGGGCATCCACAGTACCGGCTCTCTGTTCAAGGATGGTTTGGGTGGCGCAGACGGAGATTCAGGAGCAGTGTTGCCACGATCGTCTAGCGTTTCAGGGAAATCATCCTTTTCATGGCGCCGTCTCCGGCCGAAGAACTCTTCTTCAGCCCTAGCCAACTCGCACCACCCCATCCGCAATGCAGGTAATGAGGGCAACAAGGACTCGATCCCGACTTTGCCAATGACAGCACAGCCTACCAGTCGACCAGCCAGGCGAGACACGGGCACAGCGCAATTTTCCGGGCCTTACGCACAGTATATGGGCTCTCTTGCTCGGTTATTTGACGCTGTGCAGGTGATAGGTACGTTTTGGGATGTGATTCAGCCAGCCTTTGCACCGTACGTGGGAACTGATATTGGAATGACAGACCAGATTGCGCGACAAGTAGAAGACCCTGGGCTTCGACATGCAGATAAAACCCAGGTCGGTTTAGAGTTGAGTGCACGACATGCTGCCGAATTCTTCGCATTTTATATTTGCCGTTTTGTGTTGAGCGATTTGGGCTTGTTGATGGACAAGTTTATCAAGCGTGGAACTGAATGGGTTCTTGCATAATCATAGCGAATCATTATAGGAAGCGGCCTTCATGATGAGGATAGCGATAGTGGTTCTCATTGTGTTTTTTTGTAGGATATGGGAGCCCCAGCATTGCCATTATAGCTGGGAGGCAAATGGTATCAGATACGAGGATTTGGATAGGATCTAACCGGAACGACAGCGACGAACACATGCATTGGTATGAAGGAAAGCTTATGATATGGGGGGAGGGACATTTAACAAACAAGCAAGCCTTACGACCATTGTCTTTTGTGCAATTAATTGCGATCAAGAAAGATACGGTAGATACCCAACGGGCGTTTATGAATATGGGGGAGTTTATTTTACAACCACCAATAAATAGCTTGCTCTCTATATATTATACTAATTGATCTACTCAAGTTTTGTTTGAAGAATCATTGTTTAACATTGGTTATTTGATGGCCGGACGAATAAGATCACCTCCAATCTCTCCACTTCAGGTAGACAAGATAGCGTCTCAAGGCAGAGTCGAATTGTAAAAGTCGAATGAGTGAACTATGGTAAGAATTCAAAGATATCTATGAATGGAATTGTATTCAATAATATATATAGTCTTGATGTTGAACGCCAATTTTTTCCGGGTAGAACTATTTGGCGCGTTGAGTTTTGGCCTGGCTTTTGTTCGCGTAGCGGTCGGTTGATACAATTATGTTGGAGGGCTTCATTTGCGGCAAACTCTTCTGCTGGGCCTACCCGCCACCCAACCGCAGGCCGCCCCCGAGCAATTCAACCTACCTCTCGCCTCTCGACTTCCGCGACAGCAATTGGGTCAGGATTCTCTTCGCATAGCATATTTGGCCAATGTCCACCACACCTCACGTACCTCGATGAGTGTGGCGTGGACGAGTGCTGCTCGAGCCTGGACTCGCCGGACGACTACGACCTCGACCTCGACCCCGACCCCGATCATATCAAGATGGCTCACCAGACAAACTCTCCTCCTCAAGAGCAATAGGGTCGGGAGCAGCGGCCCATTGAGGGAAAATTCTTACGCAGGGCCGTTGTTGCCCCCCTGGCGCCGTCATTTTGCTTCCAAGTCGAACGCGAGCGAGCTCGAGCGTCGCATTGCCGCAATCCCAATTGAGCGCTACCGCAATTTTTGCATTGTGGCCCATATTGATCATGGCAAAAGCACTCTCAGCGACCGGCTCTTGGAACGGACGGGGACCATCCTTCCGGGCGATTCGAACAAGCAGGTTCTCGTATGTCTAGACCCCGCCTTACTTGCGAAGTTTGGATGCGCAGGCACAAGAACAGACAACTGACTGCCATACGCCATTATAGGATAAACTCGATGTCGAGAGAGAACGTGGTATCACCGTCAAGGCGCAAACATGCACCATGCTCTACAACTACAAGGGCGAAGACTACCTCCTCCACTTAGTCGACACACCCGGTCACGTCGATTTCCGCGCCGAAGTTACACGCTCTTATGCTAGTTGTGGAGGTGCGCTGCTGCTTGTCGACGCCAGCCAAGGCATCCAGGCGCAGACCGTTTCCAACTTCCACCTCGCCTTTGCCCAAGACCTCGCCCTAGTCCCAGTCATCAACAAGGTCGATATGCCCTCTGCCGACGTCCCTCGTGTGCTCGAACAAATCGAGACCAGTTTTGAACTCGACCCCGCGTCGGCCATTCCGGTCAGCGCAAAAACAGGAAAAGGAGTTGATGCTATCCTACCGGCAGTAGTAGAGAGAATACCTCATCCAACTGGTGACGAGACGAAGCCCTTGAAGATGTTGCTGGTTGATTCGTGGTATGATAATTTCAAGGGCGTTGTTCTACTCGTAAGAGTGTTTGACGGACAAATAAGAGCCGGAGACACCGTCGTATCCTTGGGAACTGGTATGAAATACACTGTTGGTCAGGTTGGTATCCAATACCCCGATGCCACCCCCCAAAGTGTACTTCGTGCAGGGCAAGTCGGTTACGTCTTCTTCAATCCAGGAATGAAGAAAATCCAGGATGCCAAGCTAGGCGATACCTTCACAACCATTCAGGATGCCGAGATCGTCGAACCATATCCGGGATTTGAGGAGCCAAAGCCGATGGTCTTTGTTGCAGCATTTCCAACCGATCAGAGTGATTATACCAAGCTCGCAGACAGCATTACGCAGCTCGTCCTCAACGATCGCAGCGTGACCCTGCAGAAGGACTTTTCCGAAGCGCTTGGTTCGGGCTGGCGCCTGGGTTTCCTTGGGAGCCTTCACTGCTCTGTGTTCCAGGATCGTCTGAAGCAGGAGCACGGCGCGGATGTCGTTATCACTGAGCCTACGGTACCTACCAAGATTGTCTGGGCCGATGGGACAGAGGAGATTGTCCAGAATCCAGCACTGTTCCCCGACGCCAGCGACCATCGGATCCGAAGTGCACAGCTCTTTGAGCCGTAAGTAGCCCGTCATTTCCTCCCCCTGGGCTCCTCAATGATAGCAGATTGTCTGGCTTGCATCGATTCACCTATCGAGATACCCAACTAACTGACGCACTACTCTTTCCACAGATTTGTCAAGGCAACCATAACCATGCCTGAGGAGTATCTCGGCCGGGTAATTGAGCTATGTGAGGCCAACCGAGGAATGCAGAAGAGTTTGGATTTCTTCCACGCGACACAAGTCATCTTGGTATACGACCTCCCTTCGGCGCAACTTGTTGACGACTTTTTCGGAAAACTTAAAGGCGCGACGTAAGAAATAATCGCTCCTTAAATCTTCTCTAAAGAAATCAAGCTTGAACGAGTACTAATTCAGGTTATCCAAAACAGAAAAGGCTATGCTACCCTCGACTACGAGGAAGCTGGCTGGCATGAGGCTAAACTCTCCAAGCTGCAACTTCTAGTAAACAAGCAACCTGTCGATGCAATCTGTCGTGTGGTCCATCACACCCAGGTTGACCGGCTCGGGAGGCATTGGGTCACCAAGTTCAAGGAACACGTGGACCGGCAGATGTTTGGTACGTTTTGTCCAGAAGTACTCACAGATTCATTTGTTTAAAGTGACTCTAGAACATCCGATGCCCCGAAATCTATGAAACGTGCTGACATCATGGCAGAGGTTGTTATACAGGCCACAGTTGGTAACCGTATTGTTGCCCGAGAAACGATCAAGCCCTTCCGCAAGGATGTTCTGGCCAAACTGCACGCTGCTGATGTGTCTAGGCGGCGAAAACTTCTAGAGAAGCAAAAGGAGGGAAGGAAGCGTCTAAGGGCTGTCGGAAACGTTGTTATTGAACAATCAGCCTTCCAAAAGTTCCTGGCAAAGTAGGAGCTGTAGGCATCATTGGACCCGCGCTGGCTTGAGAACTACTTGCCTTGTATCAATTGATGAGCCTATTCGGGATAGCCAGGTCTATGTGAATAGCGTGTATAGTATTGTATATTGGTGTTAAAATAATAGAGACATTCTGGGCGCTGCTACACGACTTGTCCTGAGCTCTCCTTGCTTGGGCCAGCTTCAGGCAGATCCTCGCCCAACGTAGCCCGCGATGTTCGTGAAAGTCCCAGTCCTCCGGCCAGTGTGGTCTCATCCTGGGTCAAGTTAAACTGCCCGTCGCCCTCCTTCTCGGCAACAAAGTCAAATAAACGGTAGTCGGCATTGGCGAACCACCATCCCACAACACCCACCCGAAGAAATCCAGAGTGGCTAACAACAAAGATGATCTTTTCCGGGCGAGAATAGAGATCAGCTAGGCCACGCTTTCCGCGGGACAGGATTGAGCTGCGCGTGTGGGCATAGCGAGTTGCCTCAGCGCTCGTCTTGTCGGGGTAAATGGGGTCAAGGGAATCATAGTTCACGGAAGGGAACTCGGCGGAGATATCAGGAATGGGCGATCCGGTATCACAAGGCTTATCCGAGTTTTCTGATCGACTCTGGGTCAGAATATTGTTTGTCAAAAGCACATCAATGATGTCTGGTAGTAGAACAACTGCTTATGCCCTTCGTTCTACCCACGCGAATACTTAACAGCACACTATTCACTCTAATAGTCGCTTCTTCACATACCTTGCCAGTCTGCGTTCGCAACTATCTTGATCCCTCGATCTACAAGCCAGTCCAAGGAAAGTTGGGCAGTTTGCAGGGTCCTCCTCATGGGGCTTGCAATGATTGCCACCTCGCCTAGCTCCAGCGGAAGAGAAGCAAACCGGTCGCGGAGACTCTGGCGGAGGAGGGCACACTGCTCCACGCCGAGCTCGGTCAGAGGGGGGTCGTGAATGTCATATTCCTTGTTGACGTTGTGCAGCGCTTGGGCGTGCCGGATAAGAACAATACGGGGAGCCATTCTTGTTTGAGGGCAGGTGGTAGGAATCGATGGGCGAGTTCGTTGGTGTAATTAGATAGAATTAGAGATTATGTGACTCCTCTGAGTAGCGCGTTAGCCGTGAATGCAACCACGAAGGCGGCGGTGAGTGGGCCTCTTTCTGCTCGAGTCAAACCAGTCTTGCAAGGCCCGGTGACTCATGACGTATTTTCCCGGTATGCATACGTGAATAACAGAAGGGATACGCTCAATGGTGTAGTTTACAAAGACTTACTAGCCGTGATATAGTAGAAATGGAGATATAGAGGAGCCGTGATTGACTAAATCCGAAGTCGGCACCCCATCACAAGATCGATTGCACTCGTCACGAACCGAGACCTCCAATGCCAATCATCCGAAATTTAGACTTGAGTGAAATTTGAAGAGATCAAAATTAATTTGCGAAGATCGTAACAAGGAACTACTAGAAGGAAGCAGACATTTTCTGTCTTAAAAGTCAGGCTCTAGCAGAATGTTATGGCTCCCAGTATCTCCTCACCATGTTAACTGGTAACATACCCTAACCCTCTGGAACACAGAACCAAATCTCTGCAAAAATTAGCCAGATACTTGGTGAAGTTCCATGAGGACCAGATACCCGTATTATGCCTCGCATGCTGGGAGGTGCTGGTCTCAATCGACTACAGGCAAGTCACAAAGAACACATGGGAATATCCATGTAATAAATCAACGCTATGTACCTTATTCCCAATATCGATAGAAATGTACATAAATCTGAGAGATGAAAGATTCTGCGCTTTGCAAGTCTTGCCTAGTTTACATTAGCTGAGAGAGTTCTATAGAAGCTATTCATTGTGCTGCCATTGACGAACATGTTCCCCAGCAATAGACAACTGGCACATATCAAACTTCAATGTAGGACAGAAACCATCTCACTTTATAGCGCTGGAGAAAAACAAACATTAGCAACATACAGAAGACACTCGTTCTAGAGCTTCGTCGAAACGAAACCCAAACTTCATCAACGAGTTATTATCCACATTGCCAAACATGGAAACCCTCTCCTCAAGCTGAGGGAAGACTCAAGGCCCAAATGCTTGTCAAGGCTCCCTTCTTCTTCAAGTTTTCAATCACCCAAGACTAAATAGAGGGGGGGACGTCAGACCTTGATCATGCGTTCTTGAGCTGACAGCTAAACAATATTTACTACTTTCCGGGTGAGCGAGTAATGCAATTTCCAATTGTTCTTAAGTAGAAGGCATGCCTGACGAGCCTATATAGGACACGATGCAATCTACTATATGTTATATCAATACAGGACCGCGAGCGAAGGTTTTCATCACTGTAATTAGCTACTTACTCTCTACCGAGGTAGCTCTTCCGCTTTTCTATAATACTACTGGCTTATAATTAGCTATAGTTATGGTATCAATCCAGCTATTTAAATACTCCTGCAAGCTGTATTACAGTACTGTTTATCTGCTATACTCGGATTTTTAATATTATAGGACTGTAGTAATTTAATAAATATATTCTATTAATTTACCAGATAGATAGTATTATTAACTTAATAATACTTAATCTTAGAAGTAAAAGCAGGAGATTTATAGCTTTATATATAGGAAATCCTAAGTAATTAAATAGAATATTTAGTAATAATTAAATTTTAAATTATAATTTAATAATATAATAATTAAGTATTTTAATTAGTTAAAAAATTATAATAAACTAGATAAATTAAAAAGAATATTAATATTTTTATATAATTTAAAAGTTATTAATTTAAATTTAATTTAAATTAAAAATAATAAAAAT